TTGTGGGTCAGGATTGTGGTAAGGTGGTGGATGTAGGTAGTGCTTTTGGTTTGGGTTGTATCAGGAAGGTCGGTTTATTAGGTGGTTAGAGAATTGGGGTCAAAGCATAGGGGGGGTATAGGATGTGAGGTGTGGGGTTAGCCTATGCTTGCTAAAACCCCTTACCTTTAAACATCCCACATGTACGCTGGGCATTGCGGCTGTGGCAGATCCAGGTCTGTTACAAGGTCGTTCAGGCACTCGACCACCTGCAAGTTTGTCGCGTAAGCACTAGCCTGTTTTGTCATTAGAAAAGGGGATCCGTTAGGAATCCTTGGGCAAGGAGCTTCTGGGGGTCATCACTACGGAGCGAATTAGGCCAAATTAGGGCACATGTTGCGAAACTCCCGTAGGGTATCAAAGGCGTATGTCGTGGCTGCTTTGGGGCCACAACGGCGAACGGGGATGTTGTGAGCTTTGGTGTTTCTCAGTGCTTATGGCGTGTCATGCTACAGTAATTATCTCATGGCGCATGCCGCACGCCGTGTAGGGTCCAGTATGCGCAGGGAGCAATGTAGTGTTTGGCAATGCCAACCTCTTGGATGAGTTGGGCATGCAAGCCTTCATGATTGATGACTGCTGTCTTAACGATCATACCGTCTGCTTGGTATTGCTGCACTTAGCACTCGAAGTCGGTGATTCACGGCTATTGTTAAAACATATGCTCTTCTCATGTTGGTGTCAGCGTGGCGCCTCTTGAACCGAGCATGCACCCACCTCGTCGCACCTGGTATGTTGCAGAGGGCCATACGGTTTCAGGGCTTAGGGGTGCATTATCCACGCAAGCATGGCAACATTCAAGGAAGTCCCCGGCCATCTCAGAACTGAAGGTTCCAAATGGAGCAGCCTCAGATTATGTGGACCTGTGCTGCATGTCTTCGCCGTATGGCAGAAATTGAGAGCAGCAACAACAATGACGAGAGTTCTAATAAAAACAGCAATGATGCTGCTGGAGGTAATGAATATCATAAACGATATAACCTGATCTATAGCAGTGTGCATCCATTTTGCCTAAACCCTGTATACCCCGTGTAACACCCCTGTTTATATTATATATATATAGAGAATCCCCATGTAGCCTCTTCGTATCCCCTAACCCCTAAACCCTATATAACCCCATTATGGTAGTTTCCATTTTCTTTTCCATTATCCCTATATAGCCCCTGTATTACCCTGTACTGGGTTGCTGGTAAGGAACTTAAATTTAGTTACCGTAAATGGGTATATATAGTAAATAATAGGGTTTCCCCAATAGAGTAACTTAATTTAAGTTCCTTAACAGCAACCCAGTGTATTCCTAGTATCCCACTTAATACCCCCTATAATACTCCCTTATATAATCCCCTATATAACCCCCTTTAAGGAGTTTAGACTATAGCTCATATAGCCCCTGAATTACCCTGTATTGAGGATGATGAGACTCCAGCTTCATCTCTGCAAGCCACTGGCGAAGGCTTCTTGCCACGGCTTGCAGGTGAATCGGCACCTTCGGAGATTGCAGAAAATGGAAACTACCATAATGGGATTATATAGGGTAATATAGGGGCTATATAGTAAGGGATAATGGAAAAGAAAATGGAAACTAGTAGAATGGCGTTACGTTGACAACGTGTGGGGTAGATTGCCCAAACTTGAACCCTAAACCAAAAAAACTGTAGAGCGCGCGCTACAGTGGCAACCAACATGTACTGCCTGCGCTACACAAGCTCAGCGAGACGCATTTTTGCATATGAACCGTTGTCTAAACTCCTAGTATCCCTTTTAGTACCTCCTACAATAGTTCCCCATATAATCCCCTATATAACCCCCCTGAAAAGGAGTTTAGACTATAGCTCATATGATGCTACACGAACACCAGAACTGAACCAAATCGTGCTGTTTGCCAACATCTCATGCATCTTGCAGATCCTTGGATTTTATCCAACATAATGTGCATCACAGACTGCACTAGCCCAGTCTTGATACATCTAAAACTTTCCATGCCACATCAATGATGATAAGCCCTGGCTCCTAGCGCCAATCTTTTGCCTCATCATCTGTCTCAGCTGCTGAAGGCACGCTGCTTGCAGCTTTGCGAGCCTCGTAGCCAGGCAGCAGGGAGTGACTCAAATGAGAGAAATCGATGATGCCTGTTTCTCGCGTGTCACTCAAAGCCAAAGCGAAGGCCGTTTCAAGTTTCAAGAGCTGCGCAAGGCAGCCGACCATGCATATCATAACAAGTCTCCAGCTTTGCCGGCAGAATATGATATGCTCATGAATGCTTAGGCTATTTGGGATGCCTGCACCCGCCCGGGGTGAAACAAAGATTTGCCTGTTCATTCGAAGTCACCATTCGCTCGGTGGCCTTCAAACCACAGAAGACTTATTCTTCAGAATAGAGAAGGCGTAGCATTCCGTGAGCGTATGCACCCACTCTGGCAGGAACTTGTAAACTTCAGAGCATGCTTGTAGCCACCATGGATTATCCACGTTGCAAGCACTGCTAATACCAAGACGAGACAAGATGCTGCCACGCCCCTCTCATAGCCTGCGACACCGCCTCTAACGATGACGATGGCGCATCCAGTGAGAGCTAAACTGAGAGCTAAAGATTCCATGATTGCGGCTGGGATGGATTTCCGGCGTCGGCCAGCGCAGCAGCCACCGAAGAACGCAAGTATTTGAATGCAAACAACAGCCCCGAAAGTGCACGTTTGCAACGCAATGGCCGCCAAGTAAGAGAGTTGTACAGAGATTGGAGCTCCTGCCCGGATCAGCCCGGCGAGCCCGTCCCATGCGTAACTGCTCAGTGGCGTGGCCACCACTAAGGCGTACGAGAGAGGGATGTTGGCTCCAAAGCCTTCAGCCAACAGCTCCTTGCGAAGTGGGCCTCTGACATAAGCTGCGAAACCGTCCAAGCTGCCGTACCACTCAACTATAGCGCTGTGAATAAATTTTTTATCTTCCTCGTTTGTGCAATGCACTTTTGAAAGGTCGAAGTTGTCCAAGTCGTCGAAAAGTTGCCGCTTCCGCGCCAAGCTCTTCCGGAAGGCATGAAATAGCAAGAGCGTAGGGGCAAGCCCAGGTAGAAAGAAGGGAACTGGGAAGCTTTCCGTTCTCAGGACCTGCGCAGCTCGCGTTGCCAAGACTACCATCCAGCCTCCTAGCCACATAACAGCCACGACCACCTCGAGGTAGAGAGGTGCGGGAGTGATCTTGCCGTCAGGATTTGCTGTCCGGAATGCTGCTAGCTCGAACACACACCACAGCCTTGTTGTTGTTGTTGTTGTTGTTGTTGTTGTTTGTTCGTGCCG